GCTAGCGCAGATAGCCCTCGTGTAGCTTTGCGCGAAATTAAAAAAACAAACAAAACAATCTAACACCTGCCCGCATTTCTGAACACGTAATGTATTCTGTTGCGGTTTATAAATAAAACTGTTTTCGTTAATTACTCGATAAATATGTAAATTTTAAAGCTAGATAAATGTACTTCAAATAATTTTAATCTCTATACTTTGACTGAAACTATTATGAGAAACTTGCTCCCGAGGTTTATTTGAAAACTTAGATTTGTTGACGTAATTTGTACTTCATGTTCGATCGTTCTTAAGTTTATACGATCAACAAAATGGAACATCAGAGAATAACTAAATTTTAAATTATTACACAAAATGACTTGTTTAAATGCAGGTTTAAAACTTTCTGTAGAAGTTTGCATAATATACTTATTATTTAATTATTACCGATAAATTTTCTGTGGATAATATTAGCTTGATATTAACTTTTACGTACATAATCGTTAGGATCTAAGTGAACGAATGAAGGCCCAACAAAACGCCATCTGGGAGCTTATTGAGACAGAAATATTTTTCATTAAAAGACTAAGGGTCATTATAGAAGTAAGTTTCATTTTGATATCGATTTATTTTATTTTTTTTAAATACGAAATAATAAATTAGAAAAATAATTTTGAGATGTGCGTGTAACATTTTGTAAATTTTTTAATATATTTTACTAAAATATGAATATGGTGAGCGAAAAAGACCTTTTTGTGTTTGAAGTAAAGTGAAATTGTCGAGTTGATAATTATATTTTTCTATCACACGATTTTTTTTTTTCAAATCTATAGCTTTGGCGCCATCTACGGGTTACTTTTTGGTATTATGTTCCTTTCACGTATACGCAACCTACTCACATTCTCTAAACACGTTTCGTTATTAATCTGTCTCACTGAACACTACGTTAGTTTCGATCTTACAGTAGGATTAATTAAAAAAAAAAGTTTTATACGAACGTGTAATTGTTTTACGTTTAAGAAAACAGGATGCATATATGATAGAACAAAGATGCACATATCTGTTTTACTGCAGAATTATTTTTTTCAAAAATATATACGTATAAAAAACTCAATCTTCCACCATTTCTTAATTTTTCTTGTCTTCAGTGAAAAAATATCAATGACTTACAACATGCGTACATAGTGTACTGACTGTTAAACTAACTTAAGGTAGTTTAAAAATCTAATTAAATGAATTATTATAAGGAATGTTTACTTTCTTTCAGCTCTACTTAGACCGTTTACAAATCCTCCAGTCTCTTGGAATACTTAACGAAGTAAGTACGTTTCATAATGTCGCAAACATTTCACTAACGTAGATCCCGTTATTAAGACGATTCGTTGAATTTAAAAACTCACACAGATGAGAAGTAACTTGATCTTCTCTGGGATCATTCCCAAAAGTAATAACATCCATTGTTCCTAACACTGACAATGAAACTGTAGACCTAGCGGAATAATCTACTTCTAGGGATAACAAGCGATTATAAAAAGAGTGAGAGAGTCAAACATACAGTTGGCGTGAACGTGCTTTGTAATCACTGTGTGTTCAGGGTTACTGAAGAGAAGTGGAATTCTCCGAAACTAGTATAACCCAATAACACACAGACCTCCCTTGAACTTAGACTTCGAGATAAAACAATTTTTGTAATACCAAGTTTATCTATTATTAGATAGAGAGCGAGAGTTTTACATCTGACGCTGTTGAAACATACAACGATTAACACCAGTCTGACAAAAATAAAGATATACTGTACCTGTAAACACAAAATAATTCCTTCAGTTATTTTTTATTTTATTTTTTACTTTACAAACATTTGTACATAGTGCTTCAAAAAGTAACTTGAGACATATTTCGTTTGATATTAAACTGATGTGATTACAAAACCAAGTTGGAGACCACTGAAATTAACCGTATTAAAACAGGGGTAGGAAACTTTATAATATTCGAACATTATAAATGTATTAGAAAGAAAACTAGTCTTAGGCCTAGATGGAAAAAAAGTTATGTTTTGGAAATAGTTAGGGTTATCAAATTTTTTATAAACAATCACGTGGAATATTTCTTTGAGAAATAGGCAATAGAAAACAAGTCTCATTGCTATACGAAAGTAAATTGAAAACATTGTTAGAAGAATGAT